AGATGGTTACAACTGTTAACTCAACTACGGTTAACATAACTATGATCCTAACTAAGAGAGGTTACATAACTAACTTCTTTAACAGTAATTAGTTAGAAGTTAGTTATGATAGATGAGAATTAATCTGGTGCTGCTGGAGATGCTGAGAGTCGATGTACTCTGCTCTGCTGTGATGGTGCAATAGCTGACTCATCTTTGGTTTCTTGTTCTTGCAGCAGAACTGTATTCTTATCATGCCCCCGCAAGCTCAGAGGAGGGGACGACGGCAAGAGCTTGGATAGAAGAAATTGAAAGCGAGACACAGGGAGAGGCTTAGTAAAAAGATCAGCCAGCTGATCAGAAGAAGAAATATGACGAACAACAACCTGTTTAGCAGCAACACGTTCACGAATATAATGATAGTCCACAGCAATATGCTTAGAACGAGCGTGAAACACCGGATTAGAACTGAGCGAGATAGCAGATAAATTGTCACACCAAATAATAGGACAACAAGAAGGAACCTTGAGTTCAGATAAAAGCATTTGAAGCCAACAAAGCTCAGCAGCCACCTGGGCTAAAGCACGATACTCAGCTTCAGTGGATGAACGCGAGACGGTGGGTTGTTTTTTAGCGGACCAAGAGATCAGATTGGGGCCCAAAAAGACACAATACCCCGTAGTAGACCGACGATCAACTACACAGCCAGCCCAATCTGAATCAGAAAAGGCAAAAAGATCAAGAGAACCCGAAGCAAACTGCAAGCCGTGAGAAAGAGACCCCTTCAAATATCGAAGAAGATGTTTAACAGCAGCAAAATCAGCCTCAGAAGGAGACTGCATGGCCTGGCAAGCATGATTAACAGCAAAAGCAATGTCAGGTCGGGTGATGGTAAGATACTGCAGAGCGCCCACAAGACTCCGATAAAGAGACGGCTGAGAAAAAGGAACTGAAGGAGAAGCAATAGAAGAGGGTTTAACAGACATAGGAGCAGCACAAGGTTTACAGTTGGTTAAGCCAGCTTTATCAAGAATGTCAAGAGCATACTTAGACTGAGATAAGAAGTAGCCTGCAGGAGAATGGACAACTGAAATGCCCAAAAAATAGGTAATATCACCTAACTCCTTCATGGAAAAAGAAGTGTGCATAGAGGTAATAAGAGCAGCAATATGAGAGGGATTGTTGCCTGTTAATAAAATATCATCAACATAGACAAGAAGTACTGTAATAGTAGCAGAGGTATGTTGAATAAAAAGAGAAGAATCCGAAGAACTAATGACAAAGCCATTGGAGAGAAGAAATTTAGAGAATGTAGAATACCAAGCCCTTGGGGCTTGCTTAAGTCCATACAAGGCTTTGTGTTTAAAGAAGATTTAGAATTTGAATCTCATTTTTATTCATATGAAACTATTACAATTTATAGAAGATGGTTACAACTGTTAACTCAACTACAGTTAACATAACTATGATGAAAGGTTACATAACTAACTTCTGTAACAGTAAGTAGTTAGAAGTTAGTTATGATGGATGAGAATTAATCTGGTGCTGCTGGAGATGCTGAGAGTCAATGTACTCTGCTCTGCTAAGGCTTGATATACACAATTGATTCAGCGTGATGGTGCCATAGCTGACCTATCTTGTTCTTGGTCTTGCATCATCTTGTTCTTGGTCTTGTAGTAGAACTGGTGCAGCTGAACTTGCAGCAGAATTGTAATCTTTATCATGCCCCCGCAAGCTCAGAGGAGGGGACGACGGCAAGAGCTTGGACAGAAGAAATTGAAAGCGAGACACAGGGAGAGGCTTAGTAAAAAGATCAGCCAGCTGATCAGAAGAAGAAATATGACGAACAGCAACCTGGTTAGCAGCAACACGTTCACGAATATAATGATAGTCCACAGCAATATGCTTAGAACGAGCATGAAACACCGGATTAGAACTAAGAGAGATGGCAGACAAATTGTCACACCAAATAATAGGACAACAAGAAGGAACCTGGAGCTCAGATAAAAGCATTTGAAGCCAACAAAGCTCAGCAACCGTCTGGGCTAAAGCACGATACTCAGCTTCAGTGGATGAACGCGAGACGGTGGGTTGTTTTTTAGCGGACCAAGAGATCAGATTGGGTCCCAAAAAGACACAATACCCCGTAGTCGATCGATGATCAACTACACAGCCAGCCCAATCGGAATCAGAAAAGGCACAAAGATCAAGAGGACCCGAAGCAAACTGCAAGCCTTGAGAAAGAGACCCCTTCAAATACCGAAGAAGATGTTTAACAGTAGCAAAATCAGCCTCAGAAGGAGATTGCATGGCCTGGCAAGCATGATTAACAGCAAAAGCAATGTCAGGTCGGGTGATGGTAAGATACTGCAGAGCGCCCACAAGACTCCGATAGAGAGACGGCTGAGAAAAAGGAACTGAAGGAGAAGCAGTAGAAGAGGGTTTAACAGACATAGGAGCAGCACAAGGTTTACAGTTGGTTAAGCCAGCTTTATCAAGAATGTCAAGAGCATACTTAGACTGAGATAAGAAGTAGCCGGCAGGAGAATGGACAACTGAAATGCCCAAAAAATAGGTAATATCACCTAACTCCTTCATGGAAAAAGAAGTGTGCATAGAGGTAATAAGAGCAGCAATATGAGAGGGATTGTTGCCTGTTAATAAAATATCATCAACATAGACAAGAAGTACTATAATAGTAGCAGAGGTATGTTGAATAAAAAGAGAAGAATCAGAAGAACTAATGACAAAGCCATTGGAGAGAAGAAATTTAGAGAATGTAGAATACCAAGCCCTTGGGGCTTGCTTAAGTCCATACAAGGCTTTGTGTAAACGGCAAACCAACTGAGGATTCTTAGGGTCAACATACCCCTGAGGTTGGGTCATGTACACTTCTTCATCTAGAACGCCATGGAGGAAGGCATTAGAAATATCCATTTGTTTAATAGGCCACTGAAAATGTAAAGCCAGGCAAAGCAAAATTCGAATGGTAGGTTGCTTGGCAACTGGACTGAATGTCTCATGATAATCCAAACCTTCCTCTTGAAGATAACCCTTAGCAACCAAACGAGCCTTATGCCGAGCGATCGAACCATCAGAATTCTTTTTAATCCGATAGACCCATTTACATCCAATAGCCTGCTTGCCAGAAGGAAGGGAGACTAAGGACCAAGTATGCTGCTGCTGAAGAGCTTGAAATTCAGCATCCATAGCAGCAGACCAAGCAGGAGAAAGAGAAGCAGCCTTAAAAGTGGAAGGTTCATGAAGATCAGAAGAAATAGTAGCAAAGGACAGAGGAGGAGCAAGAGAGGCAGCTTTAGAGCGAGTAGTCATATGATGAACATTGGTAGAAGGAAAAGAAGAATGAGGAAGAGAATAAGACGAGAAATCAACACATAAAGAGGGAGTGGAATTAGGAGAGACAGAAGAGGAACCAGCAGAGACAGGAGATGTAGTAGGAGTAGTAATAGATGGAACAGAACTGGACGAGGAGGAGACAGACGGTGATGAAACACCAGATCTGGTAGGAGGAGCAGAAGCTGGCCAAAAGAAAGATGGTAAGGAAAAACCAGGTGGTGAAACAGATGGGGAAGAAGACAATGAAGAAAAAGGAAAAATGTGTTCATGAAAAGTGACATGACGAGATATATATATTTTGTTAGAAGAAGGGTCAAGACACCGATATCCCTTAGTCGCAGGAACATAGCCTAAGAAAACACAAGGAGCAGACCGGGGTTGAAGTTTATGACCAGAATAAGGACGCAACCAAGGATAACAAAGACAGCCGAAAACACGAAGGAAAGAAAAATCAGGACACTTATGAAATAATTTTTCAAAAGGAGTGAGATTTTGTAACTTGGAACTATGCATGCGATTTATAAGAAAAACAGAAGTAGCAACTGCTTCAAACCAATAGGTGAGTGGAACAGAGGATTGATGTAGAAGAGCAACAGCAGTTTCTACAATATGACGATGCTTACGTTCGGCAACACCATTTTGGGCTGGTGTATAGGGACAAGCTAATTGAAGATCAATACCAAATTTCTTGAGAAAATTTTGAAATGCAGTGCTAAGAAATTCAGAACCATTATCAGTGCGCAAAATTTTAAGAGAAACCTCAAATTGATTTTCCACAAAAGCCTTAAACTCCATAAATTTGGAAAAAACCTCACTTTTATAATGCAAAGGAAATATCCATGTAAACTTGCTATATTCATCGACAAACAAGACATAAAATCTGTATGTAGAAGGAGAAGAAGAAACTGTAAATGGTCCCCAAACATCACTATGAATCAAAGCAAATGGTTTATTAACAGTAGTAGTAGAAAGGCTAAAAGGCAGCCTGTGACTCTTTGCAACACAACAAGGTGAACAAACAGCAGAAGTTTTATTACTAGGTACAGACAACTGAAACTTATTACAAAGAACTCTAAATTTGTAAGTAGATGGATGACCAAGCCTAGAGTGTCATATGTCATGAGAAGAAGTAGTAGTTCTGAAGCATGCTTGACGAGGAAGAGATTTAGGAAGAGCAGCTGGAAGATGATAAAGGCCTTGAGAGGAAACACCTTTGTACAAGACAGCCTTACTTGTCTTGTCCTGAATAATGAAATGATCAACATCAAATGTTATAGTACAATTATTATCATTAACCAATTGATGAACTGAAATCAAATTGGCTGAAATTTGTGGAACATGAAGAATATTATGAAGCTGGAAAGAAGAAGAAGGAGTAGGGAGAAGACCATTACCCTTATGCTGAATGGGAAGAGAAACACCATCACCAACCATTACCTGATCATGACCTTCGTAGGGTTGATACATATTCAACTTCTGAAGATCATGTGTGATATGACTGGAGGGAGCAGAATCCAAATACCAGTTCTCAGGAGGATGTGATGTAGAGGCAACATAGGCTTTACTTGATCCATCGGATGAATGATGAAAAGGCATTGAAGAAGTAGATGGTTGAAAAGAAGAGTCCAATCGGTACCAACAATTGAAAGCACTATGATTATTCTTGCCATAAATCTGACAGATGACAGAAGTAAAATTTGAGCGTCCACCTCTGCGACCACGAGAAGAAAACCTACCACGTCGTGAATCAGTGCTGTAGACACCCCATTTTTGACCGACCTTGAGACTCAGACGTCACCAGTTGAGCACTTGGTGATATTGCATAATGTGCTCGTTCAGAAGTTTCAAAGGTCTTGGCTGCGAGCCCTGCCTCCGAACTTCCGAACCCTCTTCTGTGCCTTGCCTCGGTTTGCGAACCAGACTCGGTTTTCTCTGTTTCTTTTCCTGAGGGGAGGGAGAGGTCCTGTAGACCATCTCTCAGTGGTCGTGGGCTACATTTTGTGGCCGTAGGCCATTTTTCCCATTTCGGAGCCCGGTTTCCGGTTTTTCGGGACCGTTGGCCGTGTGCCTCGGTTCGGGACCGCTTAACCATCTCCGTTTGCTCTAAATTTTGGAATACATATTATTTTCTCCCTTTCAAGGGACACTGGGGCCTGAGAAACCCTCTTCGTGGCCGAACGCCACTTTCGGTGCTTGGCAGCCCATTTTCGGGACCCCGAACTGCGTGTTTTGGCCCCCGAGCATTCGTTTTGCATTGCTTTTCGTTCATTTTTTGCAGGTGCCTCTGTTTTATCACCGGGAAGGCCGTAGAAGGGTGGGAGGCCAGCAATTATCTTGGCAACCAGTTATGTTCCATTTTCGCCCTCCGACACCCGTTTTTCGCACTTCCGGGCCAATGTTGAACACCTTGGAGCCATTTTCTTCAAACCCAAACCACATATTTGTGATGTACACACATGGGAGGACCCTAAAAGTTCATGGCCGGCTACTAATGTTTCTTGATCCTTTTGAACCCCTCCTTCCGAGCCAATGTTGAACACCCTTGGGCCACTTTCTTCAAACCCAAACCACATATTTGTGATGTACACACAGGGGAGGACCCTAAAAGTTTATGGCCGG